CACACACGGGAACAGTTAGAGGAGCTGCTCCATGTCCAATGAGAGAAAGACAAACCAACCCCCAACCGCCGCCCCGGGCCATTAAGGATGAACGCGTCAGCTGTAATGTGAAAGGACAGAGTACAGGAATCAACTGCTCGTCGCACACACTTCCTCTCCTTCCACTTCAGCACAGGAAGCACTTGTGCAACTTTTTCCTGCAGTGCGTCTGTGTGCGTCTGAGTGCGTCTGTGTGCGTCTGAGTGCGTCTGTGTGCGTCTGAGTGCGTCTGTGTGCGTCTGTGTGCGTCTTTCATTTAAATAAAACGGCCCGTTGAGTCACAATGTTTTTTTGAGCAATGAAAGTCTTGCGATATTCATGAGTTGCTCCAGCCTCAGCTTAAAATAAACGGTTATTGACAGTGTGTGTGTGTGTGTGTGTGTGTGTGTGTGTGTGTGTGTGTGTGAGAGGCAGGTGGATTAAACCAGCCCAGTAACCACGGCGATTTATTCCAGTTTACGTCTCGTGTGTTAAATCAGCTGCCGCTCTGATGCCAAAACAAACAGTAATTCCGTTGTCTTCTGAGTGTGTTTGGATTGATTTCCATTAACATGCATCACTATCGGCGTCACCAGTTTCAGTTGTTGTTCAGATCAGAGGTCCACGACCTTTTTGCCCCGCGGACCGTTTTCATGTCAGACAGCATTTGGCGGCGCGGTGGAAGAAGGTCCGGCGGGCCGACCAGACCGAAGCTTCTCACCGTCTCACAGACGTCCGAGCTTCGCTGCTGGCGCCATGTTTTTTACCACATGTTTTGGTCTTAAAGGGCCGTCAATGATCAACGGTCGGGAGAATTCAATCGTACGTTTGAACACGGCGACCTGTGGGTGTGAACTCTCACCCCGCTCTGCCCCGGTTGTGGATGGCCAGGTCCTCGGTGATGCCCTCCTCCGACTTGAAAGCGTCCCAGTCCATCTTCGACTTCTCCAGCGTGCTCATCTTCAGTTTCTTTGACCCGATGCGACCCAAGATGCTGGACATGCCCGCCGGCCGCTTGGCGCTGCGGACGCAAAGCAGGTGACGAGTTATGTGACGGCGTAGCGGGCGGCGGCGGGCTGCACGTGGCAGAAAGCTCATGACGAAGGTCATTGGCTACTGGGTCTCTACACAGACGTGACACATGGAGCATTCAGCCGACGACCATCTGATGTTATTCATCCAAAACGCCTTCATCTTCCTTTCCTCCCCTGACCCCTGACCTCTGACCCCAAGTAGAGGGGAGCTCGATTCAACGGGTCCCCACCAAGACGGCAAAAGCAGCATCCTCACACACCCAGCGGAGTGAATCAGTCCGATGAGCCAATTTACTCGCTGCCCTTTCACACCACACGTCGATCTAAATGAGATGAGTTTTAAATGTCACAACAATTAGCAACGGACGCGCTTCCACCAACAGATTAAAACAGACAGGAATCGAAGTTTGCTTCCCCCTGAAGGCTCATCGGCCTAAACGCTCCAGTGTGGTTGGTTTTGCTAAGCTAGGCTAACAACGTCCTCTCCCCAGAGAGACGGTGTTTGCAGTCTTAATGCTAAGCTAGGCTAACAACGTCCTCTCCCCAGAGAGACAGTGTTTGCAGTCTTAATGCTAAGCTAGGCTAACAATGTCCTCTCCCCAGAGAGACAGTGTTTGCAGTCTTAATGCTAAGCTAGGCTAACAACGTCCTCTCCCCAGAGACTGTTTCCAGTTCTTAATGCTAAGCTAGACTAACAACGTCCTCTCCCCCGAAAGACAGTGTTTGCAGTCTTAATGCTAAGCTAGGCTAACAACGTCCTCCCCCCCGAAAGACACTGTTTGCAGTCTTAATGCTAAGCTAGACTAACAACGTCCTCTCTCCCGAAAGACAGTGTTTCCAGTTCTTAATGCTAAGCTAGACTAACAACGTCCCCTCCCCAGAAAGACAGTGTTTCCAGTCTTAATGCTAAGCTAAGCTAACAACGTCCTCTCCCCAGAGAGACAGTGTTTGCAGTCTTAATGCTAAGCTAGGCTAACAACGTCCTCTCCCCAGACAGTGTTTGCAGTCTTAATGCTAAGCTAGGCTAACAACGTCCTCTCCCCAGAGAGACAGTGTTTGCAGTCTTAATGCTAAGCTAGGCTAACAACGTCCTCTCCCCAGAGAGACAGTGTTTGCAGTCTTAATGCTAAGCTAAGCTAACAACGTCCTCTCCCCAGAGAGACAGTGTTTGCAGTCTTAATGCTAAGCTAGGCTAACAACGTCCTCTCCCCAGACAGTGTTTGCAGTCTTAATGCTAAGCTAGGCTAACAACGTCCTCTCCCCAGAGAGACAGTGTTTGCAGTCTTAATGCTAAGCTAGGCTAACAACGTCCTCTCCCCAGAGAGACCGTGTTTCCAGCCTTAATGCTAAGCTAGGCTAACAACGTCGTCTCCCCAGAGAGACTGTGTTTCCAGTTCTTAATGCTAAGCTAGGCTAACAACGTCCTCTCCCCAGAGAGACGGTGTTTCCAGTCTTAATGCTAAGCTAGGCTAACAACGTCCTCTCCCCAGAGAGACGGCGTTTCCAGTTCTTAATGCTAAGCTAGGCTAACAACGTCCTCTCCCCAGAGAGACGGTGTTTCCAGTCTTAATGCTAAGCTAGGCTAACAACGTCCTCTCCCCAGAGAGACTTTGTTTCCAGTCTTAATGCTAAGCTAGGCTAACAACGTCCTCTCCCCAGAGACAGTGTATCCAGTCTTAATGCTAAGCTAGGCTAACAACGTCCTCTCCCCAGAGAGACCGTGTTTCCAGTCTTAATGCTAAGCTAGGCTAACAACGTCCTCTCCCCAGAGAGACCGTGTTTCCAGTCTTAATGCTAAGCTAGGCTAACAACGTCCTCTCCCCAGAGAGACCGTGTTTTCAGTAACGTTGTAGTTTGGCATTAACATCGGATTCTGTGTGAGTGCGTGCTGACAAAGTTAATGAGGGAGTGGTGCTAATGGTCCTTTCCTGTTGTCTGACACACACACACACACACACACACACACACACACACACACACAGGAAATAGCTCGTGGACACGCTGCTTCCTGTCTGCTGGAAGATGATTTCTCATTTCCTGTCGGGCGGTTTTGGGAGACGTGCACATACGATGTGAGTTGCCATGACGACAAAAAAAAAAAAAGTATCAAAAAGAAGATACTTAATATTCATAAATGCAAACTCATAAGGGGCTTTCATTTAGTAACGGCAGGTGGTGTGAGGATTGTACCGGCGCAGGTGTGTGTGTGTGTGCGTACCTGGTGCCAGGGAGAGCTGGTTGTCCCGGCGATGGGGCCTCGTCCTCGTCCCCACTCTCCTCCGCTTTGGCGTTCTGGCTCTTGAGATAACTCTGGGCTTCCTTGGAGTCCGCTGACACCACTTTGTTCACCCTGAGACAGAAACACGCCACTTGAGATGACGACGGGGCGACGCACGCGAAGGCTGCAGCACCTTCAGCTCGCGCGTCGCAGCGACGACTCCCGGGAAACGCCGAGTCTCACCGAGCTAAGCCATGGTGGGGCGGGGGGGGGGGGGGTATAAATGCACATACATACATGTTCAAGTGCACACGTATAACATGTCAAATGAAACGTTGATTAACGCGCACTTTCCCTTACAAATGCACGAGGACACAGGAAACGCGTCAAGAGACCAACATCCATCAACACGTATCTCTGCTACGCAGCCGCTGAGCTGCATCTGCACAACAACAAAGGCTGCATGAGACACGGAGGCCATGTGAGGAACGTCCTCCGAGAACGCCGCCGCGCCACAGACTCCACGACCGCTGGCATCCATCACGGCGACAGCAGAAGGCCCCGCCCCCCTCCCCCCCCGTGATGTATGCTGATCACATGCAGGCATAATTACACAGAGCGCTCGGCGAGGGCGAAGACGGCATCGGAAGAACCGATGAAACGATGACGCGAATAAAGAAAAAAGACGCGGCCTCAGAGGTCAACATTAAGGACGCCACAGGACGAGGGGGCATGATGATGATGATGTTTGTCCTCAGGCGTTGGTCAAACTGAATAATAATAATAATGATAATAACATCATGTAGGTTTGAGCAGTGTCATCAGTCTCTGCATCAGGATCCGCCGATGGAGACATCCACCTGGTGCTGATGGATCCATAAGCATCAACGCCAATAAGGTAGAAGAAATGTCCGTGGTGTCCAAGCGGACCAAACGATGGACGCCAGCTCCCTCCTGAGGCAGCGGCGGGTAGATCCCACCCGGCCCGGCGGTTCATCCGGCACTTCTTTTCGTTTTAAACCTTTAATTATTGGTTTGTTCATTTTCTTGTTGTGCCTTGCTCTTGTTGCCATGGTAACCAGGCTCCGGCTCGGTCGTCAGGGCCGAGGTTTGGTATCGTCTGACGCGCCTTCACTCGGCAGGTCGGCGGCTCCACCTGCTGGACAACGCGAGGCTGCGTTTGATCGTCCTGCGGTTCGTTTTGGAGGCTTCGGGCGGAACGATGGGCGTGTGGAGGAACACGGAGCTCGTGTTCACTGCGAGGTCATCACCGTGGACGACGGCTGTCGAGTCGGTTGAAACGAGCTGCCGGGTCGTCCCGATGCTTTTGTGTCTTGAGACCTTTTAAAACTCTTGATTTGTATTCAGCGTTTCCTCCTCACGCGTTCCAATGCTTTGATGTTAAAAAGCAGAGTGGCGTTTCCATAAAACGTCACGTTTGAACAAACGTAACCACGTCATCCGGGGCCTCCGAGGACTCACCTGACCTCTTCTCCGGCGAAGTCGAACACTTTGGTGATGGTGACCTGAGCCGGTTCTGACGCCTTGGTTCCTGTGCTCAACGCAGCCGCCGCCGCCGCCGCCGCCAACGCCGGGGAATCCTCCTGAGGATCCGAGACGAGTCATCACAAAATACAACACACGCTCGGCCACCATTACAATTTTTGTGTTGCGATTAGTTGCATGATTTTATTTGAACATTGCTGCCGCTACCTTGGGCGCGGTGCCGGGGCGCGGGGCCGGCGGAGGGTCTTTGGGTCTGGTTCCGACGTCGGACAGGAAACTGGCCCAGAGGTCGTCGGACTTTTTCTTCTGTTTGGCGTCGTCCTCCTCCCGGACCGCCGGCACCGGCCCCTCCCCTTCCTCCTGCGGCGGCCGAGACTCCTCCTCCTCCTCCTCCCTCCGCGTCGTCCTCGTCCACTTTCAGGCCTCCTCTCTTCCTCTTCCTGTGACGGGTTTGAGGGAACCAGTGAACTTTTGTATCATCAAAGCCAATAAGAGCAGCACATAAAAACTATGATTCTTTATACGGAACTAAAGTCTCTGTAACGTGACGAGCGAAGCGATTCATTTCCGCCGGAACTGGTGTCTGACCCACGCGGCCATTTTTATCAGAATGTGAAGTCGAGCACGGAAATGTGTGAATGGCAACATCTGGGAGGAGACCTTCTCACCTGGCACCGACCTCCTTCCTCTTCCCGCCCAGCTGCTCAGGAGGCTCCTCCCGCTCGCACTCACCGATGACGTCGTCCTCGCTGAGGTGATCATCTGAGGAGGAGGACAAAGACAGGGGGGGGGGTTGCGGGTCAATAGGTGGCCTTGAGGGTGAGACGCCGCGTGCCACCTGCGAGGTGAGTAAATGAAGCCCACCCCCCCCCCCCCCGCCCCTGACGGGACGTAGTCCGCGTCCTCGGTGGACGAGTACCCGTCAGAGTCGTAGTCGGAGTAGCCGTTCATCTCCGCAGCAGCAACAACAGGCCGGTGGAGGCAGTGACGTCAGCGTCAAGCGAACAGACGCGCGCTCGTTTCCCGCCTCCGGCGCGCCCGTGACGTGAACGCGCCTCTAGATTCTCCCCCCCTCCTCCTCCTCCTCGCGTGGAAACAAACACGCGGTCCGAGTGTCGCCGCTTCGACGCCGCACGCGACAAACGCCGCGGGAAACGGACGCTCTGGAGAGAAAGGAGGAACGCGGCGTGACGTCATCAGGCGTCGACGGAACGCGCCGAGGTTCAGCTGCTCCGCTGACTGCGCATGCGCGACGACAAGCGGGCAGCGGAGGAATGGACAGCGCCGCCTGCTGGCCGGAGGGCCAGTTTGCACGTTTTATCACTTATTCCGAGTTAACTTGTTCACACTTCGTCACTTTTGTCACTTTCTGTTCGCTAGTGCACTTAAAATTTGTTTATAAAGTATTATTTTATTCTAAACTAACCCATAGCCTTAATACTACTAACCTATAGCATTATATTTAATGTTATTGTCGTACTGTTACGAACCAACCGCCAAGTCAAATCCCTGTATGTCTGACATATTATGGCAATAACTGATTCCTGATTTAACACTGACACGATTGGGACAATATAAACACCAGCTCGGAGTTCAAATTGAATCTCACAGAGTCAATTTAACTCTCTGAAATGTGCTGTGTTCATAATATATATAAATATATATATATATATATATATATATATATATATATATATATGTGTATATATATATATATATATATATATATGTGTATATATAGCTTAATGCATAGCTTTACCTTTTTTTACGGTTACAAAAGGGCAGTAGCAAATAAATAAATGTCTCAGGATATCGAGCAAAAGCAAAATGTATCCCAGTATCTGAATATGAATCTTTTCTTTGTGCCTTTGTTCCATATCTGGTGACTTTAAGTCACATTTTGAAAAAAAATATTATTTAATCACTGCCTACTAGTGATGCACTGTTGGGGTGAAGTGTTCCTTCGTATTTCAAGGAAATCTCGTACTTCTTAAGCTAAATACAAATATATATTTGTATATATTTGAGTGCCGTTTGATCAGAATGAGCATCTAGAGACACTTCATGTACACATGAGCACGTTATTGTCGAGGATGCACGGCATGATTCAGTCCTTACTTTACACACCCTTTCATTCCTGTCGTCTAAACATCTCTCTCTAAATCTGTGATGCCAACGAGTGTTAAAGCTGCGCCCAATGGACCGGGAGGGAACGTTCTGCGTAGGAACATGAGGAAGAAAAGGGAAGAAGATGTTGAGCTGTGCTTTGGTGTCGCTTCGTGCTCCGATTGACTCTAAATGAACTCTTCTTATTGGAGAAGACTTGAAACTAAAGATTGAGACCATAAACCTTCACAGTGTTTACAGGCGGAATAAACCACGTGTTCTTTTTCTTTAAATAAAAAGTGCGTGTTTTTCTCTGCAGCGTCTCGCGTCTCTTTTTGTTTGAGACGAGGCGACTGATACAGAACAGCAGCCTCATTTCACCGTGTGTGTGTGTGTGTGTGTGTCTGTGTGCGTGTGTGTGTGTGTGTGTGCGTGTGTGTGTGTGCGTGTGTGTGTGTCTGTGTGCACATGCATGAGTCATCTAAATAATGTTGTTCTTTGTAACAAGAGACCAAATTACTGGTCGTGACTCATTCTGAAAAACACGTGTTTAATGGGGAAAAAATAGGGGGTTCAATTTGTAAAAACCACCCAATAATCCTCCAAATCCCATAAACACCCACCGGGCCGCTGTTTATCAGCAGAGATCGAGTTTGGTTTGAGTTCTCTCGTTGGTCGTGTTGTTCCTGGACGGACGGATGGAGACTAGACGCGTTACTAGACAGTAAAGATCACAAAGGAGACAAAGAGAGACGAACATTGTTCCCAAGAAAAAATAACCCATAATTCGCGCGTCACGACGTCTGAAGATGACCTGAATGACGAGTGATTAAGTGTAATTTGCACATGTTATTAAGGGACCGGGGGCCGATTAGCTCCGTGATCCGAGCGGTAAACTGAGGGTTACTTTCGGTTTTGAAAAGAAGCTCGATGGTCGAAACCCAAAGTGAGCGTTTTCCTCCGGTCGCTACAATGTGACACGGCAACGTTACTAATACGACGTCTGAGATTTCTCTCTTTCGTTTCTACCAGTGAAAGAAAAGAGGGTAAAATCATGCGAGAATAACAACACGGAAACGCTTTGTGCGTTTGCTATATTTGTGTATATATTTGTGATGTAGAGAAAACAACATCTATTGCTCGGGTGCTCAGTTCTTTCGACTTCACGTGCACGTCAATACTCGCGTGAATGTTCAGACAACTTTTACCTGTTTAGTTGCCACGAGGATCCTTTTACATTGACCGCGTCACCATTTGCGAACGAGGGTGTTACTGTCTCACGTTTATGTGTGAAACCAAATTCAGCAGCGAGGCGTTTTATGACCTTTAAAAGCACAAAACACAAAGTGAAAAAGGAAAAGTGTGATGCGCATTCAAACAGGAGCCAAAAGAATAGAAGATCAAAAGAGGTAATTAATAAATTAACGCAGGAATATGAGCTGCAGATGCAGAAATATATATAATATATAATGTATATATATAATAATTTTATATATATATATACACATTTACATTTCAGAGAGTTAAATTGACTCTGTGAGATTCAATTTGAGCTCTAAGCTGGTGTTCATATTGTCATTGTTAAACCAACTCTCAACCAAGTGTTAACAATTTAACTGGGAATAAGTGTTAAATGTCTCTATGTGAGTACTGGATAATGACTGCAGCTCTTTCGTAAAACTCACTCTTTAATCAACTCTTTGGCCGAACACCGGAAAATCAACTGAGGATTTTGCTGAGTGTAATGTCCATTTTGTGGAGCACTATTGTTTCAGGGGTTTAATAACTGTATTTTATTATTTAATTTATTTTAAGACACATATAACATTTCTAGGGGGCCTCGATGCCCCCACATGTCGTATTGATGCCACTGGGGGGGGATTGATTTCATCAGCTCTAAATGCCTCCGATTCCTGACAGGATTCAGGTAAAAGCACAGAGACACATTTACTGTTTACAATGTATCTAAACAGCATGTGGCCTGATACTGTGCCATAAGTCAGTTATTAAAATGGTTTTGTCAATAGGTGAAATAACGGTCCAGTTCATTCCACACGCAAAGAAGAAACACAATTTCATTTTGTAGAGAATAAATATATCTTCATAACTTTATAACAATAGAGGTTTATTTGCAGCTCTGCATTTCCACATTAAGCGCGATGGAAGGAAGAGAAGTTGGACGTTGAAAAGGAATAAAGGACTTATACGAGGACTCCCTCCTCATGTGACCTCGCCACAGGAAGAGGACACACAGGGACGGATGCTCGTCAACCTACTGAATTATAATTCAACATTTCTACTGTTGCCTCTTCCGTCTTTTGTGCGTGACTGTGAGAGCGTGGAGACCTTTGATGGAGTTTGTGTGTTTGTGCGGATCCCGGGATGATCCCAGCCTCTATAAATGCTAATGATGTGTGCAGGTGAACGATCGAGTCCTGCTTCAGACCAGCAGGGGAGAACCATGCAGCTACTCATTGCACGAAAATGATCCCGAAGATGGGTTTTATTCTAACTGTATTACCCGAGGAGACTTTTCCTCCTCCACGTGGCATCTTTCTCACCCTACGTACATTTTAAAGGCATTCAAAGGCAGGTCAAGTAAGTATGGGTTTATGAGAGTTCATCCTTTTTGCTTCACTAGACAAATACGTGTATTTAATTCTAACGCACCCAAAAAAACTCAATTCAATTTGAATTTCATAAAATATCAGTAAATTACGGGAATCAGGGACAGTAATTCAAGGGTATGTGTGTGAATGTCATACCTTTGCATTTCATTTTCCACAAATAAAGAAAAGAATACAAATGAATTGAAAGGCCCGGCAAGTGTATTTGTTTAGCACATTGTGACGGCAGGGCAATTTAGCAAGTCACATAAAACCATTTGATGCATCAAAAATAAGGTCAAATAAAAGGGAACATTGTTAAAACATTACGCAAGCTAAAGATAGAATAAAAGTTGCAGTTCTGTTGCAGTGCCTTTTATCTGCCTTTTCGTGAAACCACTGTAATTGGTGATTAGCTTTAATAGCTATGCAGTTAGCTTACTAACCTTTCCAAGGCTAGCTGAAATCTAGCTAGCTAACATTACATAGTACATAATATTCGTCAATATCATTAATCTAATGTAATGGAAATGGGACCAGATGAATCATAGATGTTAACAGTTGACTAATGATCAACACGAAGCAGAACTGGAAACTGATTTCCTACATTACTACTCAGAAAGTACTTTATTATGCTGTTGAATTACAGTAGTCCTTTGCCGTGGTTAAATTACAGCACACACTGTTAATTTACATGCAAGGGATGAATGTGTGACTGTATGTTACAGTTATTACGTATAAGATACTTTATAAAATTCACTGTATATGTGAATTGTGAGATGTATAGATTTAAAATAGAATAAAACTTGCAGTGTAATTTAAGAATGTATTTAAGAATTCCGAATTGCAGAAACGGTCGATTGAAGGCAGCAGCAAACAGAAAAGTCTTTAATCTGGATTTGAAGGAGCTGAGGGACTCAGCAGACCTGCAGCTTTCTGGCAAAAACTGAACGCTGCTTCTCCATGTTTAGTTCTGGCCCTGGAAACAGAAAGTAGACCCGTCCCAGACGACCTGAGGGTTCGTGGCGGTTCATAAGGTATCAGCAGATCAGAAATGTGCTTTGGCCCCAAACCATTCAGTGCTTTATCAACCAGCAGCAAGATTAAGTTTTTCCAAATGTGGTTTATAACATAAATCCTCTAATCCATGATATATTCTTTAGGTGATAACAGGGTGATTTTGTAACTAACTTGATATGAATGTTCAGGTTGAGGTTTGAATCTGATAGATTTCTACCTTGGTTTGTGGTTTTTAACATTTTAACAGTGATTGAAGCTCAGCGCTGACTTTCAATCGTTCATCCTTGTTACCAAAAACAATTACTTCTGTTCTATCTTTGTTTAATTGAAGAAAGTTTTGACACATCAATTTGTTGACTTGTTCAATGCATTTACCCAGACCCTGCATCGTACTGTAGTCCCCTGGTGATATAGTTATATAGATTTGCGTTTCATCTGCATAACTATGATAACACACTTTGTTTTTCTCTATAATCTGAGCCAA